AAAATATTATATTGTTTTTTAAAAATAAAAATATATTTTTAAAACACAATGATACAACCAAATTCATTTAAGTCTATTTGGGTTAATTCTCTGGTCAAACTAAACTATTCAACTGAAGGATTATTTTCCAGTGGAACAAGTAATTTATTAATGAAATAGTTTAAGTAAATTGTTACTTTAACAGATAAACTTAAGACATTTTTAATGTTGAATAAACTATCTTGGTAATATTTTATAGTAAATACGAATATAAATGGTTCACTGATATTGTCTTTATCGAATGGAACCAAAATGGAAACGCAAAGCAAATAATATAACCTCCATTCTATGAAACAATCACTAAAAGGTACCAATATTTCCACAACAGATTGCGTTGTCATAATCGGGCAGGTTTAAAACCGGCAGGTTTGTAACCGGTGTGGCTATAAACTGACCGAATCAGAAAGAAAACTGGGTCGAGAACGCGAGGTATCTGAGAAGATCTGAGGTTGTGACAATGGCCTGAGGTCGCAACCTCAACGAATGTCCTCAGCCTCTGATGTCAGATCTGAGACAACACTAAGCCGGTACCGGCCTCTGATAAGATCTGGGCGTAAGTGGGAAGATTACACCACCGTTGGGGTTGGATCGTGGGGATAGGAGAGGAATAATACGTAAATTATTGACAGTACAATAATAAATATAATATAATCGTTAAAATATATATATATATATATATATATATATATATATATATATATATATATATATATATATATATATATATATATATATATATATATACAGGGTGTTTCAGGGTTAAGTGTCCAAACTGCAAACATTAACCAAGGATCTTAAAACAAGAAAAAAATTTCCTCTGAAGGTATATCCGCAATTGCTTAGTTTAGGAGATATTCACATCTAAAGATTTTCGTTTTTATGAATTATTGTCATTAAATGAAACCAATTTATTTATTCTACCCACTTTATGAATTAGATGTAAACATCAATATTCATATTAACATGTTATTCAAAGTGAAGATATGTCCACAAACGCTTTGTTTAGGAGATAGATTAGGTTGAATACTAATATGTATTATTATCCATAACTATTTATTTCAAATCACACCATACACACAGACATGAACATACCAAAAGTAAAATCCTACATACACAACAAGTACAAAACATTTCATTCTTCTACTCTCAATCATCCAAATCCACTCGTTCTATCTCTATCTTCCCCCCTGTTACCTGGTGAGCCTCAAAGACGACTAAAAAGGCAGTGGCCTAAAGATCTGCTGCTCAAAAGTTAAGAAAGTATCAAGAATTCAAGAAGATAGAATAAACTCCAACACATTTGCTTGATGCGTTACAACGCAGTGGCAAATTTAATGGAATATAAATAAATAAAACTGTATAAAAACTATTGCCAACATAAGGATTAATACTATTTGGAATTAGCATTGGGAACTCTCAATAACATTTATCAGTTTGTAAGAGGCTTTCGCAGTGTACTCATCATTATGCCTTCCATTTATGTTAATGGTGAATTTGTGGTGTTTGTATACGGATTTTTTTTGGGGGTGACATTAAACAAAAAGTCTATTCAAGTCTGGTCAATCACTTTAATTTCTTAAAAAGTAGGATAGTTGAATCTTGTGAAACAATAACACATACCTAGTGCCGTTCTGCCACTGATGCTGTTGAAGAAAGAAGCCGAGTCTGTCTTAATGATCAAGGAAATCACTTTGAATAATATTTAATATGAATTTAATGTTGAAGTTTAATTAATAAAGTAGTTGGAACAAATAAATAGGTTTTATTTATTTCGTATAAATTAAATAATTCATAACAACGAAAATTCTCCTAAACAAAGCGTTTGCGGACATACTCTCAGAGGAAATGTATTTCTTGTTTTGAGGTCCTTAGTTCATTTTTGCATTTTGGCTGCTTAAACCTGAAACACCCTGTATATATTATATATTATTATTTAATTTTTTGATCATGTATGGCGAAGTTGTTGACCTTGTGGATGGATGAGAAGCCCTTGTGACAGATCCCTAGACCTCAACAGCTAGGGTGACAATTATACTGGCCCTTAACCGTGTTTGATGGTTCGTTAGTATCACCTTACCGACCCTTCGCTGTATAAGGGCTGCCTATCTTCCTTTATACCCGACCTCTAACGTCACTCAATACTCGTCTTCTATTAGGCCTACCAGTGAATCTGATCGGAGTTATTTTTCAATCGGACGCGAACCTTTTTCATCTAATACTATAAATATCTTCTGTAATTGTCGGTTAATGATTGACTGTCGTGAATAATGAAGAGAAGAATGGTTGGGGTGATCAGTCATAAATAAGGAGGCAAAAATAAATAATAATATTTAATTTATGATTTGCCGACGTTTCGACCTGAAGTTCAGGCCTTCATCAGGGTCTCGCTGGAATAGATATCTATTGAATCTATTCCAGCGAGCTGTAGGAAAAGCCCTGATGAAGGCCTGAACTTCAGGTCGAAACGTCGGCAAATGTTAAAATAAATATTATTATTTATTTTTGCCCAAACATCCTTCTCTTCATAAACATCTTTTCATCGATACTCTTAACACAGAATAGATATTATTAACCAGCTTGAGGGAAAGCCTTGTGGTAGGAAATATGAACCTTTTTTCTGTTTCTTCCTCATCAAATTAATGGTTTTTTTAAACAAAAACATTTTAATTTGTTTTTCATACTTTCAATCTTGTAATATAATTCGCAAGTTGATCATATTTCAACAACATAATGATACTGTCTGGTGCACGTTTACTAAAAGGTTTTCCCTCAAGTTGTTTACATATAAGCATTTGACGGATCTTCAAAGGAGGGGGCTTTCGGGCTGATGCCTCTCAAAATGGAAAAATAATTTTTCTTTTATCATTACTCTATATTATTTTATGCAAATACTTAAAAATTGCATAATACTCTCTTTTTAAATTATAAAATGTTAGCACGTGTCAAGAAACATATAAAAAATATATCTCAAAAAGCATTATTATTACTGTAATGATTTATTTTTTTATTTTTTATTCCTTCAAGCATCAGTTAAACGTAGTTTTATATGTTTTTTTTTTTTTTTTGCTTTTCCTTCCACACAAATTATCGTTGACGTAAAAATGAATCTGTTAACGCCTATATTTTTGTAATTTATGCAAAAAAAAGAGTCTAATAAAAAAAAAATCGTGTTGGTCTATTATGGATAATTTTTCTTTTTAATAATTATTTAAATATACGTATGTTGCTAAGATTCACGTTAATTACTTGATGAATATTAAAATATTCTATTCAGATTTACACTTAAAATAATCTTTAGAAAATTAATTTTAAAAAATATTACTAATTGATTATAATTCTTCATAATTAGATTGGAGCTGGTTTCGATTCCGAACCTGGAAGCGGAAATCGTTTTCTCAATCCTTTCTCAATTATATAAATTCTCTAACCTTGTAGTTTTTGCGTGAGATTCTCTTTCCATTACCGTCAGAGCTTATAAAGTATTTATAATAATCATAATAATAAAAGGCTTAGCGAACCCGGAGGTTCGATGCCGACACCCCCAATCAAAATTTGTTGTGTATGGTAAAGATATGTGAATAGGGCGTTCAATCCTACGTCACACCCTCGAGACTTGCTCCTGCCTCCAGCAAGTCTGGAGGTTCCCTTTACATTTATCAATTATTAATTAATTGCTTTTGATGATTAATTTTTCCATTAATGGAAGCTTATTACAGATTTTAGCGAAATTCTGTTCTGATTCTTCTTTAATGAAAAAATAAATTTAACGATAATTTTATCTTTTATATCGGAATATTTTTTTAAAATAGTTATACGGAGCTACTCTTTATCACTATTACCATTGTCCTTGAATGTGACAGATTGTAATATATCTCAATAAAGAAATTTCCTAAATAGATATTAAAACATTTAAATATTTATGCCAGCTTGATTTATATGTTCCATATTACTATTTAAAAGAATTAAATAAATAAATTAAATGCATTTGTATATTGTGTTAATAATCAAAATTTCCATTGTGGTTTTGTCAATTTCTTTTTCCTTTATTTTTTTTTTCAGAAATATTACAATCTTTCATAAGCAAGGACAATTATAATAGTGTTCAGAGGGCACATTCACACTCTATTTAGAATAAATGATACAGAAAATAATAATACTAAAAGGGAATGTATATAAACAAAAGAACTAAACTGATTAAAATAACAACTAAAACACATGCATACTATATTTGCCTAATGTAAACTCAGTTTTAACTTCCCATTGAAGCTGACTAATTCTAGCGGATATTCGCCTCAGTGAATATATATTGTTGCCCCCCTTTTCTCTCCTCTACCTCCATGTTTCTGTTCACGATTTCATTTGTTTCTAAAAATCTTCAAAATTTAGGTCAATTGAAATAAACATACTTGCTATCTAACAGACTAGTGTTGTTGACCGAGACGAGTCTTGGTCATGGTCTTGGTCTTGCGCAAAAGTCATGCAGTTACTTATTAGCTTATTACTATAGAGATATTACTGCAATTTTTTAGGTAGGAGAAACCTTACCAGGTCCGAATGAAAAATTAGAGGAGTTAAATGCAAAAGAATATTGGTTATACCAATTATTAACATATAATAACTAAGATTGTCAAGTATCAGTAACTATTTTGCCTTAATTTTTATTTAAAACATCGATTTTTTTTTAACCGTCCTGGTATTGGTCTTGCAACAGTTTGGCGGCCTTGGTATTGGTCTTGCAAAGTGCGAGACCAAGATCGATTTAGGGCAACACTATAACAGACGCGTTATCAATTTTTTTAATATTTAATTTTACTGGATGTTTTTTTATTTCCATATGTTTTAGCTTATAATTAATCATTATTACTAGTTATTATTAATAACTGTTATTATTAAAAACAAATAATGAAAATTATTGATTACTTTAAAAGTAACTAATGGTCTCTTTTCTTTTTGTGTTTCAGGAGATTCCTGAAGACCTAAGAGGGTGCTTAGGTTGTTAGCTGTGATTTATTTCCTTAAGATGATCTTCATCCTGCTCTTCAGCGTGGTCGCCGTGGTACAGGGAGCGCCGGATCCTTGTCCTTCCGAAATCTACTGCCACGGACCTCTCCTCCACACCATTCAGATGGCGTCCATCTTCAAAGATTCCAAGACCTTCGTCGACATGAAGATGAAATGGAACACCAGTGAAACCCTCCTTCGTTTCGACGATATGATGAACAAGACCGGTTCAAGCCCTACCATTGAAGATGTCAAGGTCTTCGTCGACGCTAATTTCGATCCAGCCGGATCCGAATTCGAGAGTTGGTTACCAAGCGACTGGCGCGAAGACCCACTCTTTCTCAAGGGTATCAACGACAGGTTTTTGAAGAAGTGGGCTGAGGGACTCAACGACTTGTGGAAAGTCCTCGGAAGAAAGATGAAAGACGAAGTAAAGGAAAACATTGAGCAGTACTCCATCATTTACGTTCCTAATCCAGTTATCGTCCCAGGAGGTAGGTTCAGAGAATTCTATTACTGGGATTCTTACTGGATTGTTCGCGGACTCTTGCTTTCTGAGATGTTCGACACCGTCAAGGGTATGCTAGTCAACTTCTTATCCATCGTTGAACGCTACGGGATGATACCTAATGGAGGCCGTATCTATTATCAGCAGCGATCTCAACCTCCACTTCTCATCCCCATGATGGAGTCTTATCTCCAAGCCACTGATGACTTGCCTTTGCTTGAAGACAGCATCGACGTGTTAGAAAAAGAATTCGAATTTTGGCTCTCTAACCACACTCAATTTATCGACAAAGATGGAGTTTCACACAGGTTAGCTTTGTACGGAGATTTCTCTCAAGGACCTCGACCTGAATCTTACAGAGAAGACGTCAATTCTGCTCAATGGATGCCTACCGAAAACGACAAAAACGCATTTTACTCCGAACTGAAAGCGGCTGCTGAGTCTGGTTGGGATTTCTCTACTAGATGGTTCATCAATGCTAATGGATCAGCTTATGGAAACCTGACCAATACCAAAGTCCGTTCTATCGTTCCGGTGGAACTCAACGCCATCCTCTGTTGGAATGCTATGCTCTTGTCCAAATTCCATGAAAGGCTCAACAACACCGTAAAAGCAGAGCAATACAAAAAAATATCCGATGAATGGAAAGAGGCAATCGATAAAGTTCTTTGGCATGAAGAAGTAGGATCGTGGTTGGACTATGACATGATCAACAACATGAAGAGAGATTATTTTTATCCGACTAATATCGCTCCGTTGTGGACGGGGGCTTACGACGTTGAAAAGAAGGAATATTACGTCAGTAACGTTCTCAAGTATCTTGACAAAACTAACATCAAGGTTAACGTAGGTGGTATTCCATCGACTCTGATCCACTCGGGAGAGCAGTGGGATTACCCCAACGCTTGGCCTCCATTGCAGTACATCTTTATTGTTGGATTGGAGAATACCGGGGATGTCCACGCACAGAGAGTCGCCTATGATTGGGCAGAGAAGTGGGTGAGGAGCAATTACGAAGCTTACGCAGCCAATCATCATGCCATGTACGAGAAGTACGACGCTACAGTTGTAGGAGAGGGTGGCGGCGGTGGCGAGTACGAGGTACAGCTTGGGTTCGGGTGGTCCAATGGTGTCGTGATGGAGCTGTTGGACATGTACGGGGACCGGTTGACCAGCAGTACTGCGGAGGTACCGACAGAGCCGCCGGCCAACAAGGCCTCACTACAGAGCCTAGGCACAGCACAGTACCTGGGACAGCTCGTCACGGTGGCACTCGCCTTCTCGGGCACTCTTGCCGCGGGGGCTTTTAGCGCTCTGCTCTGCCTGAGGTACCAGCTTCGACCAGGTTACAACAAGCTCCAGTCCTACTAGGCACAGCAATCAAAATGCAACATCAACAATGCTTAAGACCTGCATTTCTCCGGGTGATAAATTGAAAGTATTTTACTTTGCGTGTACATTTGTGATATGTATTTACTACTTTAACTTTGTATTATTAATTTTTAACATTGTCTATGTTAATAGCTTATCCCAATGTTAGGCCTATTTAATTGTAACATAGTCGAATTTTGATAATGTTTTGTTTCACTGTGGATATTTATTGTTTTCGTTCTAGAAGATATAAATTGTATATTTCCTTGAAGCTATTGGAGTAGTGGTGGAAGTCGGGCTTTGCCCCGGTGCTAAGTCACTAAAACTTTTTATAATTTGCGTACTTTAGAGATCTCGCTGAGTCCTTAGAACCCATGGGGAGGCCGAAGTGTATTCTATTTTGTAACTACTTGATATTTTATATATTTGGGGAAGAATGTAGAATAGAAATAGTGTCATGTTCTAAAAATTCCAGTCAATTCTCAACACCTTATACCCCACAAGTCGACTGACACGCTGAGCATGTTTTTGAATTATTTTTGATTTTTCTAGTTGCTCTCAACTACTGTCAGTTAGTAATGTATTTTATTTATTTTTTTATTTTATTTGGTTCGCGCCTATATTGTAATAATTCTCAACTACCTAAGAAAGTTTTATATCTTTTTAGTTCCTTCGTTTAATTTATACTGTACAAACGTTTTACCCTATCCTTTGGATTAATTTACTGTTTCTAGATTACATTGTACCTGAATAATTAGTTTTACTGTTAATATTCCATTTTTTTTTTATTTATTTTAAGTTTAACCATTATTTAAGCACTCGCCCTTGGTATTCTAAAACAGCTGTTTTTAGAATAAATTACGCTTAAATATAATAATTGTGTGAGACGAAACGTACTGCTGGCAGGAAATTTCGTTTTATTTTTAATGAAATTAAAATATTATTATATTTAAATTTTAGTCCTATTTACGAGAGATAATCACCATTTTTACCTAATGTATTTTGTTTAGCTTGATAAATGAGCCATAAGAGCTGAAATTTGGTGCCTCTTGTACTATTTATAATATTTTGTAGATTTGATTATTTATTTGTAAGAATCGATGCTTTTCATGTTGTAGCATGAGCTCGAATAACGAATGTGTAGATAATCTATTTTCAATTATATACATGTAAGGCATATTTATTGCTATCTTTAAAAAAGAAATTATATATATGTATTATTAAGATTGATTTAATTTTATTTTACTTGAGAACATCTCGCATTGTATAAATAAAACTATTTTTGTTTGTAAATAAAGATCAGTATTTTGTGAATTTTGTAAATAACATGTTTGTTTCATTTTACACCCAATCATCGCTAAATCAAAACTGTTATTAATATTTAAAAATATGTTCGATTGCCGCTTTTAAAGGCATAGTAACTATAAAGGAAATCACCAATCTTAACAATAATATGATTCATAATCGAAGAAGACAATGGCAGGAAATATTACGAAATAAAAGAAAAAAAAGTTTGATCTTCTTCTTATCTATTTACTATAGAATTAATCGTTGAAACGATCCATCAGGAAAATGTTGATAAAAATAGTTGAATAGTAATATAATGTGTAACTTTGAATCATTTTTATTTGGTTAGAAAAAGAAAAAACACATAAGAGATATGTGAATATATGTCTAGATTTTTTTTTCTTTGTTTCTGGCAATGATGACTTCCAATTAAACAACAATTGAATTTATTTGTTGTATTTTCAAATTACATATTTACATGCTAACGTTTCGGAATATTTACTCCCATCTTCAGAGCTACAATCCCAATGGTTTTTTTTATTGATTAATGGATAAAAAATTGAGTCAAAATATAGTGCATGTTACAATACATGTCAGAATTGGGTTGTTACATTAAATTTGTAATAAAATGTAGATAACAAGTAACACAAAATACACCTAAAGAAAACATTGCAAGAAAGAAGCCTACACAACAATTCATCACACAATTTCTTGAAACAACAAAATTAAAGACGTGTTTAAAAATTATGACATAACAGAAATCAAACTTGGGCAATATAATAATAAAAAACTGAGTAGGCACCTCACCAATACAAAAAATAAAATTAATAAACAAGAAAAATTTAATACATAAATTAAATTGTCAAAACTGCCCCAAAATCTACATTGGTGAAACGTCCAAGCAATTAGGGACCAGAATTTCACAACACATTACTAACTGTAAAAATACAAAAAAAGAAAAACACAACAGCTTTAGCACATCACAGCATAAGATTACAGCATAAATTTAACTTCAATAAACCACAGATATTAGGAACAGAACCAAAAAATTACTTGAAACCATACACAGCACAAAAAACAATAGAACAACAGTAAATTATAAAAGAGACGCCAAGCATTGAGGAACACATTATGCTGACATATTAAACAAAATTAAAATTTAATAAGAATGAAATTGCAGCTACATAAAAAATAAACATTTAACAACAATAGTATAACAATAAACAATCATATCCAAAGGTCAATTGTATTCACAATGGCAGACACCCAATAATTGGTCTAAAAGCATGATGTTGCTCTGGATATTACATACTTTAATTTATTATGATATGAATTTAGAACCTGGCAATGGAGAACATTAGAGTTAAGGTAATTGCAAATTTAATGTAACAACCCAATTCTGACATGTATTGTAACATGCACTATATTGTGACTCAATTTTTAAGCCATGAACCAACAAAAAAAAATTGTGATTGTAGTTCTGATGATGGGAGTAAATATCCCGAAACATTAACATGTAAACATTTAATTTGGAAATACAACAAATAAATTCAATTGTTTAATTGGAAGTCATCGTTGCCAAAAAACAAAGAATATCATACAACTTCTCAGAAAAAAGAAGTCCATTGTTTTTTTTAAATAAAAATAAAGTTTACATGTTTCAATTAAAACTGTATATTCCATGATTTGTTAAAGAACCGACGATAAAAGTATAAATACGATATATTTCATGCAGATTCATAACAATTATAAAAAAATACATATTGAATATGTAATATAATTTAAGAGTATAAAAAAGGGTAAAAATAAATTGAGCTAGAAGTTAAGAAAATCATCAATAAATATTTGAAATCTCTAAAACAAACCGTCATCAAGACTGGAACGTGATACTAATTCATCATCTATATGGTTCTAGCATCCTGGTCTCTTCCACTCAGATTAACTCACACTTTCCAGACTTAGACAAAACTGTATTTAAAAATACCGAGTATTTTGTTTTTCTAAAATACAATTTTAATCACCAAATATTTAAATTTTTCTTTGATTGAGGGTTGATGTCATAGGATTGACATTTAAATTTAATAGAAAAGACGTTTTCTTCCTGTAAATTTGTTTCATTTCTTCTTTCTGCGCAATCAGTTTCGGTCTTTGATCAGACCTTCCTCAGGCATTCATCTTATGAAATGAAAAAATCATTTTATTCTGCGATTAAAGTCCCCTAAGAATAATATCAACATGATACAAAACATTGGTCCATTAGTCTGGTTTGACAGAATACTAAGAGGTCATTTGAATGTTTAAATTGTTATCGCAATCATACCTGAATAACAATAGTAAACACTTTAACACTAGTACATTTTATATAGTTTACATCCTATACAAAGGAAGAGTAAATAAATAAATGAAATCAAATGAAACTTGCCGATTAATTGTTAGTAAGAAGTTAAAATTACAGAATACAATAAGTATTACAGAGGTACAGAAATTTAAAAATGAAGTAGGTGGTGGAATAAGAGTTGTTTGAAGAAATTTGAAAAAATTATGGTGGTATGTCAAGAATTCCAGAAGGAGGTAGCACGGATGACGAAGAATTTGTTGAAGGATGTAGTTTTATGAGAAGGGATATATAAATCAATAGGTTGAGATCTGGTATTAATAGAGTGGATAGAGGAACAAGGAGTTCCGTGACATAGGAAGGATTTTTGGTTCTTAGGACCTGGAAATAGAAAACACCATGGTGGTCCTCCTCTCCTGCTTGTCAAATAGAGTATTTTACATTTTTGAAATTTAAATGCTTACTAAATTAAAAGAAAGTTGTGATTGAAATACTAGGTGATTAAAATTATATTTCATAAAAACAAAATGCTTTCTATTTTAAAATGCTTTTTGCCCAGATCTATTGTCAGCTGCCCTTCTTCGTCCTCTAATATCCCATTTTCGTCCTCCACAAACCCTGACCAATCAAATCAATGATCACCTCTTCTTCTTCATTATTTTTAAGTGATTCTACCTAGGTATATTTTTTGTACATGTCCTAGTCATCTTATATTAGTATACTTATAATTATTGTGTTTTATTCTTCTAAGAAAAAGAAGAAGGAGTGTTTTATTCATTGCTCTTAATTTAATTGTAGCATTCCCGAAGACGGGAAAGTCGGCGATGATTTTGGATCCTACCGTGAGATATGAGACCAATGACCTCGATCAGGCAGGCAAAGTGGAAAGAGAGAAAAAAAACAATAAAAAAAAATAAATAAAAAAAAGTAAAAATATAGGAAAAAAATTATAATGAATAAAAAAAATATATATATACTATGCTCATACATATTGTTAATACTACATAATTGTATATTAGTTTTGGAAAATTGTCTGTAGCAATTAATAAGTATGAAATGAAAAAATAATTTTATTCTGGGACTACTGTCCCCTAAGAATAATAACAGAGTTAAAAATTTATGTATCTTAGTCTGTCATAATAAAAATACCAACTAATTTATTGTTAATTGTTATTTCAATTGTGCAATGGATTAAAATTAAACATTGTATAGATGCAAGTAATTTTACATGTTAAGGGAAATTTGAATGTGGAGTAGGTGTTGGAACAGGAGTTGTTTGAAGGAATTTGTGGATGAGGATTGACGCATGGAGGTAGGAAGTGAGTTCCATAAGGAAGCAGCACGAATGACGAAGGATTTGCTGAAGGAGGAAGTTTTATGGGAGGGAATATATAAGTATATAGGTTGAGACCTAGTATTGAGAGAGTGGATAGAGGAGCGCAGAGTAAGGAATTCTAGGATGTAGGGAGGGTTTTTAGTTCTGAAGACTTGGAAAAGGAAAACGCCAAGAAGGAATTGTCGTCGAGAAGTAGGATAAAGCCACTTCAACTCAGTGTACCAGAGTGAAACATGTGAACGTCTGGGGATCCCGAAAATGTATCTTATGAAACAATTCATGAATCTTTTTAGTCTCATTTCCAGCCTGGCAGATAGCATTCCATACACCAAACAGCCGTAGTCGAAGTGGGGGAATACAAGGGAAGTTACAAGGAGCTGTCTGGTTTTTAGAGGAATACAATCACGGAATCTTAGGAGTTATTTAAGGGAAGTTATGGATTTTCGGGTAATCTGGGAGATATGATTATCCCAGGCGAGGTTCTGCTCAAAGATTACTTCTAGGTTTTTGACTGTAGGGAAAAAATGGATGGGATGGTTATTGAGTATTGAGTATGCTGTGTTTAAAGCAACCCAATGTAATTAGGCAGCACCCTTTTATGATAATAAAGTGATTCTCTCTCTTCCTTATATACTTGGACATATATTTTTCTTTCTCACATGTTTAGCAACTTATATTCATGGAGTGAATGTGTCCCAGGATTTCGTACTCATAGATGAAGACTTCGGATGGTAAAAGAGAGCTATCTGTTTCTCCCCCACCCCCATAAAAATAGACAGCTAACGAGAATATCGTTTCATCTCCCTAGTATTTCGAAGAACGAAAATAAAAGCAAAAACTATAACAATTAATATACAGGAACGAATAAAATATGTCAACTAAAATCAATTAAGAAAATAGGAAACGTTTCCTAGACCACGCCCTGTGCTATTATTGAAATTGAAATTTATATTCAATTGCTTCGTTAAAATATTTTCAAATCTGGCAATAAAACATATAACAAAAAGAGCTAATTATAAAAAAACATATACATTTATTTGTTATTTATATTTTATTTAGGCTCCACTAAGCAATCGAATTCCTCTCGTATCCAATCCTTACAATTCAAAATCCTTCGTAAAATCCTCACTGCTCCTTACTTTGTCACAAATAAAATCATCCATAATGACCTTAATGTTCCTTATGTTTCTGACTTGCCCCAATCCAGATACCTATTCTTCCATTACAAACTTCAGAACCATCCTAGCTTCCTCTTCGATCCCTGGCAACCCTCCGAGGCGTCTGAAAAGAAGATGGCCTCGAGATCTCCTTTTGTAAATACATTTTTAGAGTGCTACCAGTGGGTAGTTTCTCAACAAGTGATTTCATGTTATTA